GGTCAGGTTAGTTCTCAGCATTCAGCACAATGTCGCCAAGTCTCCAACATTTACATGACATTTTGTTATGGAGAAGTACTATTTCGACATGTTGGTTGCTCGAAAAAGTCAAGAATGAACTATAATATCATGGGTTCCTCCTATTATGTTTTATTAAACGACAGGACTCCAACATCTCTTTGATAACTTTTTATAATTGGTAACTTGACAACGTTGCTTCATTAGTGGAATTGGAAGATTATCTGACTAATAACTCTGACTAATAACTCAACAGCAGCGTTGTTAGTGGGCTTACGGGTGTACGTTATCTCACGTACCTTCACGTATACCTTAAATATCAACGTACGTTAACCAAACTATACTCGAAATATGCCGATGAGTCAAAATTATCAAATTTTAGATCAGCAACGAGTTCTGCATCAAGGAGTCCTCTAATTTTGACAGGAATAAATGTTCGAATCTAAACACACAACCAAAAATGACCAATACAAACCGAAAACAAAATGTATTATTACGTTATGATGACAGTGACGACCAAAGTGGCGACTTCAACTCAATAGAGAGTTGAAGTGTTGTCATGAACGTTAACGTAAACGTAGAAATTGACAGCTACGCATGCGCATTTTCCAATTCTTCACGTTTGCGTTGTTAGTGGGCTTACGGGTGTACAGTCGTCTTCAGAAAACATGTCGCGGTTGGACGGTGTCAGCGCTCTTATTGCAGGAGTTATTAAGAATGCTATCATCGTCCATATGCGACATGTTTTCTGAAGATGACTGTACGTTATCTCACGTTCTTTCACGTATACCTTAAATATCAACGTACGTTAACCAAACGATACTCGAAATATGCCGATGAGTCAAAATTATCAAATTCGAGATCAGCAACGAGTTCTGCATCAAGGAGTCCTCTAATTTTGACAGGAATAAATGTTCGAATCTAAACACACAACCAAAAATGACCAATACAAACCGAAAACAAAATGTATTATTACGTTATGATGACAGTGACGACCAAAGTGGCGACTTCAACTCAATAGAGAGTTGAAGTGTTGTCATGAACGTTAACGTAAACGTAGAAATTGACAGCTACGCATGCGCATTTTCCAATTCTTCAAGTTTGCGTTGTTAGTGGGCTTACGGGTGTACGTTATCTCACGTTCCTTCACGTATACCTTAAATATCAACGTACGTTAACCAAACTATACTCGAAATATGCCGATGAGTCAAAATTATCAAATTCGAGATCACCAACGAGTTCTGCATCAAGGAGTCCTCTAATTTTGACAGGAATAAATGTTCGAATCTAAACACACAACCAAAAATGACCAATACAAACCGAAAACAAAATGTATTATTACGTTATGATGACAGTGACGACCAAAGTGGCGACTTCAAAATTTAACGACGATACGTAAACGTTATTTTTCGTACGTTAACGTCTACGTGGAGGTCTACGTACAGTGATTACTTCAACTCTCTATTAGCTCTGAAATTCAACAATTTCGAACAACACATAGACACATTATTTACGTAAAAATGGCGTGAGAAGTGTTGCAAAAATTAATTTAGGTTCCTAACGACACAGTGGAGTAATTGAATGCCAATAATTCATCAACAGTCCACTCGCCATTCTGAAGTACAACTGACGCTTTCTGAAATTCAATTGAGTATTCTGAAATACAATTGACTCTTTCTGAAATACAAGTGAATATTCTGAAATACAATTGACGCATTCTGTAATTGAATTAACTATTCTGTAATACAATCAATGCTTTCTGAAATACAAGTGACTATTCTGAAATACAATTGATACTTTCTGAAATACAAGTGTCTATTCTGAAATTGAATTGACGCTTTCTGAAATACAGCTGGAAAAGGTGTAGAAATTTGGAAAGACTAGATAGTTCACTTTTCGAGGTGCCATTCTGTTCATTGAGTCAACTTCCTGAACTTTTGCTTTTCAATAGGCCTTTTCATTTAGATGACAAATGACTATCTCTGTTTACATCTCGCATCCAACGACAGTGGCGGCCATTTTAACCAAAACACTTAGACCACAGTACCACACTCATCAGTAACGAATAAGTAACGTTTTTTGGAATTAAATTATTAATACAATTAATACACACCAGGAATATAAAAACAAAAATACTATGTTGTTATTGTTGACGAATGCCCATGGTGATTGACACTGTTGACAATTGACAGAACGTCAATATAATACCCACCATATTCGATATGGCCAATCAGCATTTTTTGTTGGAACTATAGCCAATGAGGCTTCACCTTCGCATTACCCAATAAACTTTTGGATCTAAAAACGAGCGCATGCGTCTTGAAAATATATCTAGATGAAAAGGCCTATTGGATCAAATGGATCTAATGGATTTCAGAAGTGTCAAATTCGGATTGAATTTTCGAAATATTTTCAGGAGGTTATAGTGACTGTGATCAAATATTTTTGTTCGGCTTCTCTTTCAGATGGAACGATGGTGGGCCATGTTTTTTATAGACTATTCGACACATTTTTCAACATTCCATTGAAATAACGATTACAATAATAAAAAAAACTAGAAAGCCACCTCAATTTAACAAAGTTACCTGAGATAGCTTGATCAAAAGAGATTCGCCGCAGCCCTCTTTGAAATGTTCAAACAGACAGGGTGCCGCCGGCGATGTTTTTTGCTGAATTTGTCTCAAGTGACTGTAAAGACTTATATGTGATGATATGAATGATATCCCTGATAGAAGAATGTAAAAAAATACAAGGGGTCCATTTGAAAATAAAATGTTCAAAATTTCTTTACAAATCTTGAATATACAGGGTGTTTGATCAAAATTGACTACTGGCAGTGTTGCGAAATTCGGCTGACATTAATTCATTTGATGAAGAATAAGGTAGGAACACAAAGTTCTCAAGTGGCTAATTTTAGTTGAAAACTAAATATTGTTCTTTAGGAAATAACTAAAAAAACGGCTAACTTTTTCTCGAGAGATTATGGTATATGATTTCCTTTTCAAGAACTTTGACGACACCTTCAACAGAGCTGAAAAGAATGATTTTCAAGACATCATCATTTGAGTCATATCAGAATAAGACACTTGCCTCGACACTTGCTAAGGCATTTTTATCATTTTCAAAAGTAAAAGATATGTTTTTCATTCTGCATGAAATAAACAATCTCAATTTCATCAGTGTCATAAAACATTTGAGAGGAATAGATACCACAACCCCCTGTAACATGAAACTGGATGAAATATCCCAAGTAACACCTTGTATAAGGATGTATAAGTGACCAGTAGATGGCAGACTTCAATCCAATGCCCAGAATGAGGGCTAACATTATTTATTATATTTATTGTCCACCAAACGGCGCCACCAACACATGAGGTGAGGGTTGGTAGAACTGATAAATATAGTTCCTCTTCTCGTGTCATTTGGCCTTTTGCTATGATCTTCTTTTCCGTTAATGTAAGAATTGTTCATAAAATTCCACATCAAGAGTAAAAAAAACATAAGACGTCTTTGGATAACTTGAGGTTTTCTATTTGTTTGAATATTCTACATCATAGTGCCAACTGGTGAGAGTGAAAATGATAGCCCTCATTAGAATAAAATTAGTGAAGCATTAAATTACTGATTATTATGATCTGTTATAATAAATACATTTTAAATTCATAACTTTCCTTTTATTAAATTGGAAATATGTAAAATATCCAAATGGGTTTCAGAATGCATGAGGAGAAACATGAGTACAGGTAAAGAGAATGATTTTCAGACCCCTGTATACCTTCCTGAAACCACAATCCTCTGTAGATAGTGGGAAAACATGAACAATAATTATCAAAACCTAGATTTACCTCATATGTATGTCAAATTCATCCTTGGAATTGTAAAAAAAATATTGATCACAGAAAGTTTGAAAAAAGTCCAATACCTACCTCCTCTCCCTCTCCTCCCTAAGTATGCATGACATTCTATGATCATTATAGGAATTTCCTTTCCTGCTCTCAAATAGATGAAAAAATGGATATAAAGATACCAAACTGCTATGGAATCAGAATTGGACAAATGCTAATGGCTAATATCATTTTCAACATCTTTAACATAAAATTACAAAAATAAAAGATGTAAATATGCTTTCCTGCAAGTCTTTTGAAAACTAGAGCAGAATTATAAAAACAAAATATTATTATAAGCAATAGGAGCACTGTTACCAAATGGTACCAACAACTTTTAAATAAACTTGATTAGCATCAAGCAAATATTTGTTATCATTATTTTGGACAAATGTCATGCAAACATTAGATTTGACCATTTCATAGGAAATTTGCTAAAATCAGAGCATAATATCATTTATGTTCAACCTCTAATGAACTAGCAGACCATAGAAGAACTACTTTAGATTTTTAAAGTCATAATGTTGAGATTGTACAACTCACGTTTTTTGTGATAATTTAGCATCAAATTGCGGTGAAAGAAACAAATTTTAAATCCAAGTGGTTCTGTTCCAGGTTCTGTTAGCTGAATGGTAGTGAATGTTTGAACAGCAACCATACCATAGAATATAGAATGATTACAAGAGAAAAAATCACAGGGGCATTTTTACAGTCAGCTGGTAATGAGAATAATAATAATCAGAAGTATTTTCCAATGACCTTTCAAGGCCATTTGTATGAACCAATCAAATAGTGATGATTTATGACATGACCTGGAACAAGTTGGTAAAAAAAATGTCTCACTGAAAAAGCCTTATACCTAAGATTCAAAAATATCAATACAGTATATTCTTTGAATATATATAAATATATTAGGAATACTTGAGATGAATGTAGTTGTTTGCTAATAAGTACCTGTTGATAGGTTAACATTGATAATATCATCCATATCTTAGGTATTAGAGAAACACAATCATTAGGTACTTTTTACAATGTCATCATCAGAATACAATTAAGTGATTTTATTAATGCAGTCTTTGGAAAAGTCAACTAAACAGATCAAACACGTTCAATATGATACCTTTCTAATGCTATAACATACCCATAAAGATAATAGAAGAAACTGAGCAGGTAAAAAGCAAGCTTGATCCATCCTTCCCTTTGACACCTTGTAAGTACATCAGCATTCATAATACTTGTTGGGTCATAGATACCATATGCAGACATCACAGGTCTAGTTCGATATCGATTTATGTGATATGCTATAAGTGGAATGTTCAAGCATAGTGATAACCACTCTCCAGAAGCAGCAAACAGAATGTTGAATAGGAGATGTAGGATATATTCTGGTAGTACCAGCTGAAAAGAATCAAGTTATTGCATCTTCATGAGAAAATAAATTAGAAGCTCTGTATGTAAAGGAGATGATAGTTTGTGGCCATTTATGTAGCTAACTGGATTGTTTGTATTGGAATGATCATTTGAATATCATTACTGGAACAAAAAATTAGAGTTTTTCATAGCTGAATTATTAGAATTTCGTCTTGTCATTCTAGTGCAAAACAACAGTGTCTAAAATACTCACAGGATTCAAGCTATTGCACTGATCTATTGGATTTTTATAGTCGGTTTTAAGTTCATCAAACGCTATAACGTGAAATAACGAGAAGAAAATAAGAAATGCGTCTACGATAAGAGCAATAATATAAGAAAATGCTGGGAAATTGAAAGCCATGTTTCAAGTTTCAACTCCTAATTCTCTATTCTATTTTGAATTTTGATGTTTTTGATTTTTTTAAGCAGGTTAAGGAATAAAAATAAAAATGTCAAAATCATTGAAGGTTAAAATGTCAAAATCATAGTCACAGAATGCTAACATGAGGTTGACTTGGACGTCGACATTCCGGTTGACATGTAGATTGTGGATGTATGACAAATAATTTGACACACCGTTGACCGAATGATTGGATAAAAGTTTCTCGCAAGTAATTCAATTAGTAGCATGCTGCTGGGCTGCTTGTTGTGATAAACAAGCCAACACACGATATTTCTTCTTTCTTCCTAGTTAGAATTTTCGATAGCTCAAAGGTCTATGTATCTAACTTCCACGGCGGTGGCTCGCGTTCAAATGTGGTTCAAATCCCTGCGAGGCGTCAATTTTCGAATAATATACTTTCCAGAAGAAGGATCATTTTGGACGATTTCGGTCGACAGAAGTCGTCTTTTTCATGCAGGAACAATATTTTACTTCCTCGAACTTCTGCTTCCACCTGAGTAATTTTTCGACAGATAAACTTTTCAGGAAAAAAGTTCATTCAGTCCGAGTTAGGTCAAAAGTAGTCCCTTGGTTACGAATTTCAAATTTTTAAATTGCTTTTAGCGCGTATGTGATTGATTGTGATTGAAATTCGAATATTTGCGTTTTTAGTTGTACAAGTGTTTGTGTTTTCGTTTATTTTTCATAGACTGGACTTTTTTGACCATGTCTAGTGGAACGAAATGCAGTATTTGCGGAGGAAAAACAGACAGGAATCCTCTTCTCATAAGTGAGTTTGAAATTAGGATCGAATAATTATTAACTAAACCTAACCTAACTTAAAATCTGATCCTCACGTCAGCAGTTTCCATCTTTCACTCTCCGTCCTTATAGATAAGTACCTCTTATTTTGGTCCCATTTTTGTTGAGATATCGTATAGGCGATGCGCCATATATAGAAATAGTAGATATATGTGCAGATTGCAGATAGGATAACAGTCGACCGCCTACTATGATTTCTCTACGTCACAAATGGCGAGACGTTGATTCTACATTTTCCCGCTAGATGGTGATGCTGCTGTTGCTGCTATGACGAGTGGAAATAAATGACAAATGGCACTTAAGGTATGCGGAACATTATGTAACAGTGGGGATTATCAAACTCTGAATTCGAAAAATCTGCGACAATCTCAAAACCGACAGATGTCATAATTGTGCAATGTCGCCATCTATTAGAAGATCGACGAAACCATTGCTCTCGCTAGTCTCGCTGTTCCCGAGAAGTCGAGTAAAATTAATGAAACAGAAGCGCATCAGCAGAGATTATACACTGGTTTGTATAATCTCTGGCATCAGTAATTACACCATATCTTATGCTCCCATCATTGATTTTCTGCAGCACGGCAGCATGCTACTAATTGAAATACTGGCGAGAGACATTTGCACAGCAGGTCGCATTGACGCTCAGAGAACACTTGTAAAATTTGTGCACCGTGAGTCATTATGAAGTCATGAATTACGTCACTCCTCGCGCTCCCCAGTCGAATATATACGAAAAGAAAGAAAATCATCAGGTAGAGATGGGTGCGTTTTTCATTCCAACATTTTATCATGCGCATGAATCGAAGAAACCATCAAACTGTTGCAAAATTCCGCTGGAATGTTGATGGACATCCATCAAACTGTTGTAATAAAATGCGCACTTTTAAATCGCTTTTCGAAAATCCAGCAGTTTGGAGATTGACATGACAGTTGACACATTTTAGTGTTGTTATTTGTTTTGATTTGATAGAAAACAATTAATATTGAGGATTTTTGAGATTCTTGAGTGATTTTAGAAGAAAGAGTCAGTGTTAATCAATAAAATCGAATTAGCCTCTTCTGATTCTCAAGATACATGATGACTGACACACAACAAAATCCGAATTTCCATCAATGTGTTGTATAAACCATTGTTCAATCCTTCCAGCATAAATTCCAACAGAACAATTGGTGACGTCACGACAAAAAACCGCATCTATCAGTGCGCACTTTCTTCGATGGAATGAAAAACACGCCCATACTAGAGATTGCAGTGAGGGTGGACGACTATGAAAATATAATGTTACTGTTTCGAAAATGAAAATAAAAAAAACTTTTAAATTAAAAGAAATATATCTTCCACCTTCAACATTGAAATAATTATTGCTTGATTGAAAAAAAAATCCTCATGGAAGTAATACAATCCTAGGTGAGGTAGAAACGTAGTATAGTATAAAATGCAACTCAATCATCTGGGTTTATTGAAAATGTTCACACTCCATATCTTTCTGCATAGTAGAATATTTGTTATGCATTGCGTTGTGCAAGGCCAATTATTCAACTGAAATGTGCGTATATTGAATTTGTCTTGAAGAAATATTATACATGTAATATTTCTTCAAACGATAAGTTTTTTTTAGGCTGATATGGCAATAAATTATATTAGAAATTGTGAATTTTTCTCCAACGAATATTCTGAAAATATTAATGATGAATTATCCCCATCTATACAAAATACATAATACTATAAAAATATTCCTTCAAAGTTTTTTTTTCTAAAATCGATTGGTCAGTAAAAATTATAGGAACAAATTTTATCCATTCGATCTCTGTTTTTTTGTTTTTATCTTTTTTTTTATCGCTTGGAGCGCACGAAATCGAATCCCTATAATATTCAAAGAACATCGTTCGTTCCTAGGAAGGATAGGGATAGGAGGTAGGTATTGGAATTTTTGTTCAACTCCTGCATGGAGATTATATTATGTTGTTGGGAAATACTTCCTCAGGCAATGAATTCCAGAGTCTAGCCGTTCTATGGATGAAGGAGTTTTGATAAAGTGCTGTTCGACATCTTTTGAGGTTGACAATGAAAGGATATATATGTGCTGACTGGACTTGTCTAGTTCGTCTGATTGGTATTGCTAGTGGAGGGATGATAGCAGAGATTTCCGAAGCCCATTTCCCGTGGAAGTATCGATAGAAAAGTGAAAGGTCGCCGACCTTTCTACGGTGTTCCAATGATGTCAAAGAGTGAGTGAGTCGTGTGGCGCGTCACCCACCAGGCGGATGGCTCTCCTCTGGATGGAATCTAAGAGCATCAGCGTATGTTTTGGTGCTGAACCCCATATGTGGGAACAGTATTCTAGAACAGGCCGTATCTGCCCTTTGTAGATCATGAGAAGCTGTCGAGGTGTAAAGTAGCTTTTCGCACGGAACAAGAATCTGAGTTTTTGTGAAGCAGCTTTTGCGATGGATCTAACATGATTATCCCATGAAAGAGTGTTGCTGATGGAAATACAGAGCATAGATATGGTGGGATTGGTGAAGATGGTGGTCCCAGACATTACAATGTCGGGCATACTGGGTTCCGCCTTTCTAGAGAAAATACAGGCTTGAGTTTTGGTGGCGTTGAATTCAACTAGGTTGTTGGTTCCCCAGGCTGTGATTTCAGCAAGGTCTTCATTGACAGCATTGACCTGCTGCGCCGTGAGTTCTTAGTTTTCTGGGAAGAAATGGGAACTCTGGAAGAGAACGCAGTATGGAGGGTAATATCATCTGCAAAAGCTGTGGATGGGGCAAATTGTTTACTCCCAACAGATCATTGATATGAAGAAGGAATTACGTTGGTGCCAAAATTGATCCTTGTTGAACGCCGGAATTGATGCCAATGGTATCAGACGATACACCGTCCACCACCACATGAAGCGATCGGCCTGAAAGAAAACTCGATAAGAGATGGCATAGCAGAGGTGGTAAGCCGTATTATGGTAGTTTGTGGAGGAGTCCTTCGTGCCAAACACGGTCAAATGCTTTCGATATGTCCAACGCGACAGCTAGAGATTCCCCGTGTTTTTCTAATGAAGCTTGCCATAAATGACGTAGGCAAGTAGATCCCAGTAGATCTTCGGTGGCGGATAAATTGCCGGATGGTGCAATAAAAATTTTGGCAGATGCAATTAATATTTCCTTCTCCAAAGGATCATTTCCTGCCTGTTTAAAAATTGCCACCATAATTCCACTGTATAAAGGCGGAGATCATGATATCCCTGCCAATTTTAGACCGATTTCCCTGTTACCAATCCTATCAAAAATAATAGAAAAACTGGTAAAAACAAGGGTATCATCCTTCTTGAGGAAGTTTAACATACTGAGTTCCAATCAGTTTGGCTTCCAAGCCTCAAAAAGTACAAATGATGCTATTTTTTCCTTTCTAGAAAATCTTTACCTAAATCTGAATGATAGAGAGGTAGCTGCGGCAGTTTTTTGTGACTTATCCAAGGCGTTTGACTGCGTAAATCATAGAATACTGCTGAAAAAACTTGAAATATATGGATTCAGAGGCAATGCATTGTCATGGTTCAGATCTTACTTAACTGAACGTCGCCAAAATGTCTTACTTAATGGAATTGAATCCAATGAATGTGGTGTCAACTCTGGTGTCCCACAGGGCTCGGTTCTGGGACCTCTTTTATTCTTGTTGTATGTCAACGATTTGAATCAGTTGGACATCCAGGGTAAATTCACAATGTTTGCAGATGACACCACAATCCTATGGCACGATAAATCAATAGCCGATCTATTCGATCACATCAGTGTGGTGTGATGCAAATCTCCTATCATTCAAAGTCAACAAAACGAACATCGTATCATTCAGATGTGACATCAGGGAAGTTTCATTAGATGATGGAATAATTAGCAATGCCGCGGAAAATAAGTTCTTGGGATTATTTATTGATGAAAAGTTAAGATTCGAAAGCCACATTAACAAGTTGTGTAAAAGTTTAGCATCGGGTTGCTTTGTTGTACGTAGTGTTTCTCACGAATTGGATATTGCTGATGCTAGGCAGGTTTATTTTTCATTAGCAGAGTCACATCTACGCTATGGCATTTGCTTTTGAGGTATATGTTCACAGCAACTGTTTGAAATGGTCTTTACCCTTCAAAAAAGAGCCATCAGA